ATGTTTGTGATCTATCCCCAACGGGTTCCACAGACACAGAAGAGTCATAAATGCAAAGCAAAACTTGAAAGTAGGATCTTTTCTTTACAGCTTATTCCCTTGGTTTTAGTCTCAAACATGAGAAGGAACAAGACTCACCAGAGTTGTTACACACATATGACTACATTTTTGTGTGGACAAACTCTTAACAGCAATGAATGCAGTAAGAAGTCCTTAGACTACACATTTTCTGAACTCAAAACACTATTTTTGAAGAATCTTTTTGCATATTCAAGGCAAAAATGCAAAGAAGCTTAATCTACCATGCATGTGAGAGAAGCAAAAGTTCTGTGTGCTGGATTCCTCTAAGTTCCCTTAGGCTGCTGCAGAAATGAAAATAAGTTTGACAGCTATTTATTTCAGTATTTTTAAATTTAAAAATAGACTCTAAAATGAAATTTATAAATAAATAAAAAAAACCCATATTGCTTTCAAGTCATCATGACCCAAGCGTTCAGTTTAGCTAAGGTCAGTTGATGGGTTAGTGGTTCTACCTGAAGCACAATGTGGTGCCTTCAGGAGGGCTCTAATTTCCCTCATAGTGAAGAAATTTTTCCTTACAGCTAATTTAAATCTACCCTTTTCCAATTTGAACCCATTACCCTCTTCTGTTGGAGAGCAGGTTCCACTAGTGTGCTACCACTTAAAAAAAAGAACATCTTTTTCTTCCTAGCTTTACTGCCTTGATGTAGAAAACGTGATAACTTTTCCAAGACAAAGTTGTCAGGTGTCAAACATCTTAGAACAAAACATCATCTAGAGTCATCAGGAACCACCTAAAACTGCTAAACCAACTGTCACCTACAAGATAAGTTAGGAATTCTTGGTGTCCTACCTTCAGGACTCTGGCAATGGAGTGTTTCAGGTACACCATTCACGTTGGAAGAAGACCCACCATGTGGAGTGATCTGTGCAAGTACAGAAGAACTTATTTCTGATGGTAATCACAAGAAGAAGCCAGACAAAAAACACCAGCAAAGTTAAAAAAGACCCTAAAAATACCTATATAGCACTCAAGTTTCTTTTCTACTACCACTTTAGTTTTACTCCTGCTTTCTCACAGTTCATCATCATTCTAACACATCATTGTTACTTCTCTGTTATCTAGACATAGATCTAGTTTTATTAACTGTGACAGTGTGTAAAACCCCTAACAGATAAAACAGATAAAAAAATATCTATTTGAAGGATGAAGGCTGAAGAAAACTACTTTTGCTGCACTAACTTAATTGGTACTCAACCTGAGTGTTCACAATTCCACTTCAAGTCCTCCTGTCATACTGCCCAGGGACATACATTATAACCCATTTTTATTTTAAAAAGGAGTGGATGCAGAAGAATGAAAGCCATGAACAGTAAAATGTACTGGGGGTGTTCTACACCCCACTGTTTTATCAGCTCACCCATCACAGCTAAGTACAGGGATGCTCTATGACATGAAAATATATTTTGGATATATTCCTCTGTGTAACATTCTTGCTATTCTGTGAAGTTCTCTATCTTGTTTTCTTCGTGGGCTGTTAGAGTAGCTCTCAACACTCCCCACACAAAGGATTAAAATGCTTCTCTGCCTGAAGCTCAGTGGCTGGTGCAATGGAAATGCAGCATTTCCCATTTGAGCTGACATTGTCTGGTGACACTGCTGAATATTTTAAATCATTAACACTATTGTCAATGAAAGCACTGAACTGATAGATGGGGATATTGTCTAAAGGCTCATGAAATGCTAATGAGTGCTTAAGTTTCTAGCAGCAGCTGAGCTGCCACATCAGCTAAAGGTACAATAACTAGAAGCTGTACAACTTCATTTTGCAGAGCCTCTAAAACAAGGATGTTTACTGGCATTTGGCACAGAAGTAGCATCAAACACTCACCTACTACTCCGCTCCTTGCTAATAACTTAAAACCAGGCTATGTTAATGCTGCTGTCTTTATGGGTTACCTAATTATTTAGCAAGGATTAGGAAGAAGGACATGGGGGTTAAATGACATTTGTGCAAAATCATGAGTCAGTCTCTTGAGCTGTCCATCACAGGTTTTTCCAAGCATGAAGCAGAGAGAACAGAACAGCTCCCTGCAAAGTATTAGTCATCAGCCAGGGATACTAGTGATGTATTTTGGCTTTTCATTAAATAAAAACACACAGGAATATCTAGCCCACATTTCCTTCATCCTTGCAATCAGTCAGAGCATGACTGTGCACATTCCTTCTTACCACTGTATTTACAAGAAGGAAGCAAATAGCAACAAGAGAAAAAAAAAGCTGAAAGGAACACAAAAAGGGGAGGAAAAAAAAAATCTAATGGTGCTGCTGTTGCAGCTGAGGTACTGGATCAGAATCTGCACTGGCAGGTTTATTCTTAGCTCTGCCACTTGATTGCCCCATGGCTCTAAACGTGAGGCCATACTCACTGTACAACACAGACTGCAATTTGGGTGCTGTAAGTCTGTGTCTCAGCCTCCCAGCAGGAAAATAAGTCCAGTCTTTCC